AGCAAGTAGCACACAATTTTGCAAAAGGCCGTCCAACCATGGGTAGTACCAGGCCAGTGATGCGGAGTCTGGAGCTGGGGATACACCCAAGCCTGGGAGCCCCAACTGGGTTTGCAAACAGTTGGTCAGCACTGAACAGTTTGGGCCCGGGATGGGTACTCTAGGATTCTCCTGCCTGCGATCACCCCTCATCCAGATGAGGCTGAGTGTTTTCCACCAGGGACACAAGTGCCAGCCTGTACACTCAACTGGGATCATGTCACAAGGACAGGGCAGCCAGGTTAAAGGAACTTCTCTTGGCCAAAGTTGGGACGGTCATATCAAATTATTCACTGGCATGAATTAAAACACATTAAGTATGTTGAAAATCCATGTATATAAAACATACTCACTGTCCACCCTTGAATAATGCTAGTTTTCGCAAAGCTAGTAGAGAGAAAAACTAAAGCATTTATCCTGACTTTCCGAAGCTGTACCTAAGGGTAACCAAAAAGTTGATAAGGGAATGTTGTTTCTTATGGAAGAATTCCAGCAAATAGATGTAGAAAGAATGATAGAATTAGAAAATTATCATTTTGTAACTTCTAAATAAATTATGTAAGTGGGCCAGCAGGCGGCATGGTGGTTATGGTGTTGTATCACACATAGCTGACTGAATGGTATGAGTCCCAGACCAGGCAGCTTGGGAAAAACATGCTAGGTGCATGTCAGTTGTCCATGAGTCTTACTTATGTCAAATGGGAAAGGGTGGGGTTTTGCTGTCAACATTTCCAGTAACACAAAGAGTGGACAGATTTCTTTAACTATTGCTGTTTTCCAGGAATACAGGGCTTAGGTAATGTTAGATATTGTCACGGGAAATAAATATATTAACAGAGGCCTATAGTGAGGTGATGAGATACTTAATCAGAATGAGATTGTATTTAGAGTTTGTGCTTACTCACGGGACATAGCAACAGCATCTGAAGTCCAGGTGAGGTCTCCTCACCTCTGCAAGAGATTACCTGACGCCGGGAATGCTGCAGCTATTGCTACCTTTTTGCAGCTCTCATGGAGAGGGACTAAATATCTCTGTTATCATCACAGTGGGATTTTCCACATGTACTGGGAAGGGCCAAGGTTGAGAATTTTATTCATAAAACCAAGAGAAAGAAAATCAGGTTTAAAAAGCTAAAAACTCTCAAAACAGGATTGGAAAGGATGGACCACCAGCATCCCACATGGCAGTAGCAAGTAGCACACAATTTTGCAAAAGGCCGTCCAACCATGGGTAGTACCAGGCCAGTGATGCGGAGTCTGGAGCTGGGGATACACCCAAGCCTGGGAGCCCCAACTGGGTTTGCAAACAGTTGGTCAGCACTGAACAGTTTGGGCCCGGGATGGGTACTCTAGGATTCTCCTGCCTGCGATCACCCCTCATCCAGATGAGGCTGAGTGTTTTCCACCAGGGACACAAGTGCCAGCCTGTACACTCAACTGGGATCATGTCACAAGGACAGGGCAGCCAGGTTAAAGGAACTTCTCTTGGCCAAAGTTGGGACGGTCATATCAAATTATTCACTGGCATGAATTAAAACACATTAAGTATGTTGAAAATCCATGTATATAAAACATACTCACTGTCCACCCTTGAATAATGCTAGTTTTCGCAAAGCTAGTAGAGAGAAAAACTAAAGCATTTATCCTGACTTTCCGAAGCTGTACCTAAGGGTAACCAAAAAGTTGATAAGGGAATGTTGTTTCTTATGGAAGAATTCCAGCAAATAGATGTAGAAAGAATGATAGAATTAGAAAATTATCATTTTGTAACTTCTAAATAAATTATGTAAGTGGGCCAGCAGGCGGCATGGTGGTTATGGTGTTGTATCACACATAGCTGACTGAATGGTATGAGTCCCAGACCAGGCAGCTTGGGAAAAACATGCTAGGTGCATGTCATGTGTGCCCAGAATCCCAAGAGGAAAATGAAAAGGGATTGCATTGTGGCCATCCTCCATGAGGGGTGATTTCTCACATTTCCTCCCTGTCTGTTTCGCCAACAAGTGCATGCACCCTATGGAAAAAAATCTAAAAATTTCTTTTTCTTTTTTTGGAGAAGTTTTGGCTATAAGGCACGTGCACTCGCCAGAAAGACAGAAAGAGACAGAGAGACAGAAAGTGAGAAATCACCCCCCAGAGGGGTGGCCACGCCGCAATCCCTCCTCTTCCATTCTCCTCTCGGGATCTTGGGCATGCAGGTACGTGTGCCCGGCTTGAGTTTAGGCCACCGGGTCTGGTACTCAAACCGCAGTCGACTACGTGGGAGTCCAGAGACATAGCCATTACGCTAACTGATGGTCCCAAAATCTAAAAATTATTTTTTAAAATTATGTAGGCAATATTTATTGATGACTGCTAAATTAATGAAAAAGATTTGAAAGTGTTATGATAGATTGATCAGATTATCAATACTTGAAGCCACCCATGGAAATAAATGTTACAGAAGCACACAACTAGACATTACATATTTTCTGATATGATGCAAGAGGAAATACATACATCACCTGCTATGATTTGAACGTATGCCTCAGAAATTCATGTGTAAGGACTTGATTATACTGCCTATAAAGGTAGTAATTGAAAATGTAGTTTCTTCTGGTATCTAAGGTTTTTTATTTTTTTGACTTCCTAAAAGTGTTAAGAATATACACTTAAATTTAATTTTCACTTAGGGATGATGAGACAACTTAAGAGACCTTTCCTGAGAATGGGGTGATCCTTGCTAACTAGCAGGGTTCATCCCTGCTATTCTTTTTTTTTTTTTTATTAATTCACTTTACACCATCACAACACACAAATGGATTTTCCATCCAAAATACACTGTGCATTGGCTCAATCAAGCACATCCACATACATGTTCTCAGCAAATAATTTTTCAATTCTTACGTCCTGCATACCTTGCCCTTTGTCTTGCCATCCCTGATTCCCCATCCCCCACCCTCTGCTATGTCCCATCTTCCTCCCCCATTGTCCCTGGCATCCATGGTTGCCCTCCATACCTTCC